TGGGTTGTAAAAGAAAGCGAGAAGAAAGGAATAAACATCAAATGCAAGAAGATGGAATGCATGGTTGTTAGCAAACGATTTGAGAGGCGACAATCCCACCTGCACATTCAAATATACTACAGTTCCCATTATAAAATCACCTTAACTTTATTAACAAGTATATGAGTATATTCATGATTTGGGGCGATACGCAATGTTGCTCTACCAGATTAAAATTAACATGTCATACATCCTTGTGCAAATTAATTGAAACAAAACAAATAATTCCGTTATTATTTTTTCATATTTTATCAATTAAATATGACTCAGTGCACATATTAGTGCATCGTACGTTCATTCCACAAAGTCGTTCCTTGAAGATTGACCATAGATTCTCGATTGGATTTAAATCAGGAGAGTTTCCAGGCCAGTCTATAGTACTTTGATTTGCTCACCGGTAAGGCTTGTCAGTGTGTTCGTGCAGCGTTACAATTTCCGTACATTTCCTTGGAGTAATGTCCATCGCATACATTGGTCATAGGACAACTAATCGACAATCGAGACAATAGTGTCTGGGCGTGATGAAAATCTGATGTAATCACTGACGACGCAATATTTTTCAAGGCCGAACAGATTTCATCAAACACTAGATTCATATTACTGCACTGAATCTGAAGAAAAATAGAAATCGATTACACCCTGTCACTCCAGAGGGTCTAAAACTTACCGTATGATGAAGGAAGGAAAATAAAGCGGTTGCTTCAATTCATTTGCACAAGGGTGTACATGAAATACCACCCACATTTTAAAGGCTGAGAAAAATAAATCAGGGTAAATGCTATTTAAAAATAAATTTTAGTTGTTTAAAAAACAGCTATAGTTTTTAGCCATTTATTTTAAAACGAACTCCTCTAAATGGTGTCCTCTATTTGCCATATACTGTTGTAGACGATTTCTAAAGTTTTCCATCGCCCGGATGTTCGAGGTCTTCCAGGTGGCTTCCTTTCAAGCGCTGCACCTGTGGCCCTGAAATTTTCAACCCATAACAGTATCGATTTTATATCCGGTATAGCATAATTCCAAAGTAACATAAAATGAACACAAAAAGATCTCTGTGTTGAAATTACAGATTTACCACTCTAAAAAATGTTTCAACAGTAAACGCACGATGTGCACCGGTGCAAGCCATGATGGTAACTGATGGTATCTCAACAACATGATAAGACATTAGCTAGATGAGGACACCATTGATACTTTCATAAGTTCATTAACACAACACTGGTGACAGTTTAAAATGTGGGAGGTATCACATGCAAGGATTGCCAGAAAGAAGATATTGGAGAAACCTCAAGAAATTTAAATAAAAGTTTATATGAACACAAAAGAGATATTTTATAAAAGAACACATTAGTTGTTCACCGTAACGAGACTGGTCACAATTTTGACATAAAAAATGCAACTCTAATAAAAAAAGAAAATAATTCACTGAGACAAAAATATTTAGAAAGTGCATTAATGGCTAGTTTATTCACAATAAATTTGCGACCAAGTTGTTACAACGTTTAACCATTCTTGGTAAATCTTCTGTAATCACAATGTGGGATATTTAAAAAATAAAGATGACGGAAACAAAAAGAAAAAGCATCTAAATGAAATTGGCTAGATTATATACCCAAAACACATTTTTTAAAAACTTTCCTAATTTTAAAATTCCCGTGCGCATCTGTAGTTGTATCATTATCCGATGAAGTCCTAAAGGAGGAAATGCGTCACACGAAAAACTTTGCATCTTCCCTGCAATATACCCTATTCATATACAGTGGGTAGCAAACGTATTTAAAGCATTGTTTTTTCTTACATATCTCAAAAAATAACAGATCAATTTCAACGTAACTTATAGGAAATATTTAAATGAACATTGTCGATCAAAACATAGAAGGAAAATTTAAAACCACTGTTTAGAGAAACATTTATTAACAATAAATAAAATAACCCATATGCAAAAGTATTTAACACTAATGCAAATATTATGCAAGAAGAGTTGGGAAATGCAATGTCGGTCTTGGCCTTCCCGCTAACTTGGAGCATGTGCATGTAAATTTTGGTGCAAATCCGTCGAAAATTGCGGCCGTGCATTCGTTACACACACACATCCTGCCTTTTATAGATAGAGATAAGAAACATGATTTATCGAGCCAAAGCAATATCTTCTTCGGGCATATTAATATATAAGGAACTTAGAGACATTAAACAAATGTTTTGCTTTAGTAATGTAGGCTTTCAAAACTTTAGGTCCCTTCAAATTTAATGATAATATCAGAATAAATGCAGAGTATTCGTAAGACATATTTGTGTTAAGTTCACAACCAAGAAGATTTAACCCTTTTCATCTTCGTGGCCCCTATACGGGCTGCTGTTTTATAACCGAGCAACGGGCAGGATTATATGCGTTTTATCTACACTGATCCAACGTCCTCAGCAGTTTGACCGTTAGCCATTATTTTTTTACATACTTTTCAATCTCAGCGCATCAGATATAAATATCCCATCTCAGAGATGTACTAACTGGTCTACTTAGGGACCATCGATGTGAGAGCCTGTTTCACAAAAACAATTATGACTGAGTAGTGAGTTCGATCCTCACAGGGTTCCCCATACTTGCCGCATCTAAGCTACGCTTAGAATATCATATTTTAGTTTGAATGTGTTTTGTTGTATCTTGTTTTCGATTTTTGGGTTCACTTCCCCATCGTTTCATTTCATTTCATTGAAGTTTTATATAATTTTGCATAAAAATTGATAAAACCACAAAAAAGGACATTTTATATATTATGAAAGTTTTATGTCATTGGTATTTTAGTAGGCTCACAGTGAGTATGTGGTAATGTGGTATATGGTGGATTGAATGGCGATGGATGAGTTCTTGAGTCGATTGAGGAATTGCAACGGATTAACGGTTCGTGTATCTGATTAGCTAGGTTTAGGACAGTTAGTGAAGCCCAGCCTCACCCAAGTTCCCCATAGGTCTCGTGCCAAAATCGTTATTTTTATAGCAATGAATATTCATTATTTTATGCATGGTTTGTTGAATATGACACAATGAATAGCGTCTTTACAACCTTTTTTTAAAAAAAAATGGTTAAACGTATAGAGGAATTGTAGAATCAAAGCTGCAAGTGTATTTTGCTTCTGTTTTTGTGGGATAAAATTGTTTCGTTCTACGACTATAAAATACCCATGGAAATCCCCCTATTGCATCGTTAAATATTTGCGCTTAACAACTAATCGTTAGTATGAATGCGCGTTATTATTTAAAGTAGTATGATGGTACAAATGAAAAGATTTGAAATTGGCACTTTTTTTTACATTTCTGTAGCGGTGTCACCGCTACAATTTCACTAAAGTAGCCATTAACACATGAGATAGTTATCGCCTCCTCTATCTTCTTTTTCTGTATTTTTCTTTCTTTCTTTCTATAACTGAAAAGAAACTGCATCTCTGATATGTCTTTTCCGTCTTTTCTCACGATCAAAACGGATTACTCCATTATTTATGAGGTGTTGTCAACGCGTAACGAACGTGCTAACTAAGGAACGAAGAAATCAGTAGAAATATAATTTGATAATAATTTATTCAAACATATACGATATTGTTTTGCGCAAAGATATATTTCTGTGGCCGATATATTTTGTGCTTATTTCTTTATTTTAATCATTTCACCCCAAGCTACCAAGGGTTAACTGAGTGTAAAGGAATATAAGAAACAGAAAAACATTATTAAGAAGAGGGAACTATAAGAGAACATGAATTAAGCATACAAAAGATAACGAGTGGTATTACATTCAAATTTTTGAAGATCAAAGATGACTGGGAAGCAAAAATCCTACAAGCGGAAAACGCGAGAGAAGAAACTGTTAGTATAGAACTTACGGTTAGATTCATCCATTTCAACTGTAAAATAATGAGACCTTGCCACACGTCTAGTAGTACACCTAAATTGATAAAGTCTACGTATTAAAGAGGAAAGTAATATTTATTTTGAAATTATAAAAATGTGACTCAGGGCCAAAAGGGAAGATAGGGGAAATACTGGTCTTCAGTTTGTCTTATCTTATACTAAGCTAGCCATAATTACTGACTCAAACATACAACAATATTCCTTACATCAAAACAACACTTTCTTACTTATCATTCTACCTCTAAGTCTCTATGAATTCCTAACTAGTTTCCATATGTGCAGTTTGTGGGTGTGGGGAACATCAAAGAGGAAACAATTACCATGAAAGTATTTATAGAAAAGTCACAAAGAAGCTACGTTACGTCGGTGTAAAAGTGACTGAAGCCGAAATTCCAAGTCAGGATCAATAATATAGAAAATTCTTCTGTGGATTTCATCAAGAATCTCTAAATGCATAGAAGGAGCTCCAAACCAGAAGAATATTCAATACAGGGACGAATGGTAAACTTATAAAAGACATATTCTGGCGGAAGAAATTGTCTAGCACAAAACAGTGAACCGACTTTTCTAGCATCAACTATGCTGATAGAAAGCAAAAACAGTTCAATCAAACGGTAAAATGAGATCAATTTTGTTTTGGGAGTGTTAAAATTAACACACCATTTCTTGCCCCAGTAAACAACAGACTGTAGGTATTTTTTTTTATCTCAGCTACGAATTTGACTTCATGAAACTGATCAGAGTTACCACTGACAGGAAAGATTTATGTTGTCTTATGTTTGCATAATAAAATCTTATATCAACACCCAAAGTCAATTTATTGAGAATATTTTTTTAATAACGATATATACTTTAAGCTGAAGCTATCGTGATATATTGCTCATAAAAATATAAATATATTTTTAAACTTTCCCAAACACTTTTGATTAATACCATTTTTATTGAGAATACTTTCACTTACATAATAAAATTTGACATACAGTTTATATATATATATATATATATATATATATATATATATATAAAAACATGGGTATGCGTCTACATTTATAGTATCTGTCATATGCTTTCTTTTTCTCTTTCTTTTTCTTCATCCTTCTCTACCTCTCTCTCTCTCTCTCTCTCTCTCTCTCTCTCTCTCTCTCTCTCTCTCTCTCTTTCAGATTTCTACCTCTCTTTCTTTCCCAGAAACACAGGTACCTCCACTTCTTAAAGTATATCTTTGACGACGATTTCTTTAGGAAACATCCTGGGTGGTCTCCTCTCGTCCCCTTCTCCTTCAACCCCACCTTTTAGTGAAACTGCAACTTTACCCCTCCCAACCACGACACCATCTTACTACAGATGTGTTACTCCGACAGATGTTTGTACGCCAAGTCCTGCATAATTTCCGCCACTAGACATTACCAAATCGCGAGTTCGCCAAGTTCCGTGCGCTCGGTTTGCCTTGGACCACCATCCCGACGTTGTCTTTTACGCCTTCTTTTGTCTGAGGCGAGAAAATAGACCGCAAGTGTTGTCTCTTCTTTCTTGCAAAGGGTGGTGGATAACCGAGAAGGACAATAACAAAGGAGAAGGAAGGCCTTTTACCTCCGGTCGTTTGCGGAGAAAAAAGGCTTGTTATGAAAGGAAACAATTAACAGTGCAATTCTGCCGTAACTATCAGTTGCATCATCTGATGTGACTGTCGGATAGACCTGTATATTGGTCGATCCTGGGAATAGTACAACTTTTGATTTTAGGTTTAGAATTTGTCGTAGTCTGTGTATCGGTCGACTCGACTTTTACGGTCAAATTTTACAATCATAGCGTCATTTTAAGTCACATAAAACACGTTTGAAAAAAATCACCGACATTCTATAATGGCAAAAATCTTTGTTATTGTTTCCTAACACATCAGGATTACGGCCATGTCACGTTGAACCATCGATTCTCGTATGATGACCGAAGTTAAGCAACGGCGAGCTTGGTTAGTACTGAGATGGGTGACCACTTTGGAATACAAAGTGCTGTAATCTTGGATTTGTGAGTAGTGTAATGAATAACGGCTTGGTATTGGAAATCAGAGAGCCGATTTCCAATCGTGTTCAAATACCTTTGGGGAAGGTGTGAATCAACTTTTACCCTCCCCCCAGCTAAGGGTTTATTAGTAGAAATTGTATCAATAAATAATTATTGTCTCAAAAAAAATTCTAACAATCTAAATTTTTTTTATTTTCAATAACCTGCAAAAAGTTGATAAACCGTAAAAAACGAATCAATCATTAAAAAGCTAAAACATTATTCTGAAGAATATATTTGCTTTTATATGTATAGCATGCATATTTGCGTATAAATTTTTAAACATGGAAAATATTTAAGAATTTATACACAAATATGCATGCTATACATATAAAAGTATGTATATATATATATATATATATATATATATATATATATATATATATATATATATATATATATATATCTAGTCTGAAAGTAGACAGTCTCAGGATTTCAGAGCTGGCCTAACTCCAAGTGTTGGCGAAGATCGTTTGATCGTTTGAATTTAATCAAAAACCACACATTTTTAATCATTCATTTTCAGATGATTAGTTCTGATCAATTGTTAAGTGACAGACAGAGTTTCACTTGACACTCATATTAAGAAAAAAAATGGCCGATTTCAAGTGGATTTTAGGGCCCCACAACACAAAATTCTGTTAACACAATGTTTGTTATACTTTGCCTGCTTGTTTTTTTTTCATAGACCCCACAAATTCGATTAATGCTAACATAAAATGCCCGAAACAAAATTTTCTCATTATTAATGTAAGTTTCCAAATGTTAAAACAACTTATTTCGACAAAATGTAAGAAAATTATCTACAGGAAGATATTTAAAACGTAGTCGCTTACTTTCATATGTTAAATTGATCATTGACCGTTTTTGGTACAATTTACCGAGCATCAAATATGAGTTTTCGATATAACTTTCTCTGTATTTACCAGAAAATCATGATTTGAAGATCTATCCCTAAAGTTTTGGTGGTGATCAATCCACTTCTGGTGCTGAAAATATCCCCAAAATAAAGATAAATGATTTAAATGCAAAATGTATGCAACTTTCGATAATTTGGACACATAACTGCAGAACAGATTTTCTTGACGTAAGACTAACTTTTTAATTGAAAATATGAAAGTTTTGTTTTAATCTTTCTCTTAAATACAAATAACATTAATACAGTTCCACGATGAAGATGAAAATAATTCAAGGTGCTCAAAAATCACAAATGTCTTTTTGGTTCTATTTTGTTAACCTCCTGTCTCTTACACATAAAATAAATTTAATATTTGAGCCAGAAAATGTTTATATTTAACTCGTGTGTATTACCTCTAACGACCTGTGTGAAAACTAAATAAAGAAAATGTGCTAACAAAAAATAACTCAGGTATAAGTTGCATCAATTTTTAAGAATGAAGGAAAAAGTTAAAATAACAAGAAACTATATTTTATGTCATATAAGACGCACATCAGAAAACCCTCACTAAAATACTCTTACATCAGCCGTTCTAAGACTTTTTACTTTCGCCCAATCTTTCACCCAACAAAACTGCTTTGGTGTGTACTTTGAAAAGAATATGGTATACAATTTATGGATACTATAGACTAGATAACAGACAATGAATATTTGTTTATAAATTACATATTTATTTATATAATTATATATTTAAGGAAATCGATAAATTTGGCCCTTTTCAAAAATTGAATTCAATAAATGTACAAAAATAGAAAGGGGCGTGAGACAAGGAATCATCTTCTCATCAGAATTATTCAAACTTTACAGCGAATTTATCTTGAGAAAACAAAGGGTCCAACAGTATTTATTATTAATTGACACAATCTTAAGAAATGCAGATGGCACAGTGTTGATAGTAAGCACATAAAGGAAACTGAAAAAACTTAAAAAACTACCAGAGAATGTAGTAAAGCACTGGAAGAAGAAAGGACTAAGCATGAATCGGAGATACCAAAAGCAAGCAAGTAAAAAAATTTAAACACCTGGGAACTGCTTAAAGAGATTTTAAAAAATGTTATGTCGGAATACGAAGGCGCATTAGAATAGCAAAAGATACCTTTATAAAGCTAAGCAAAGTGTGTTAAACTAATATGTAACATCAATCCTCATATATGCTGGACAATCTCCTCACAGATGAAGAAGATACTTGAGGCAACGAAATGTGAATCTACAGAAAGATATTTAGAATACCATGGACTGAACATGGGAACAACGAGGAACTTTTAAGGAAAATGGAAGCAAAAACGACACATATAAGAATTTAAAAAAAAATACAGTTGTAATTTCTAGCACACATGATGAGGAAAGAGGGAAGAGAAAAGTTAACACCTACACTGAAAACAAAACGCTTGGGACTACCTGGTGGCGTAAGCTTGGATGTGCGGGTGGTGTAATGGATAATGGTTCGAAATTGTTAGTTGGAGAGCCGAGTTCAAATTCCCGTTGTGTTCACTTACGCGCAAATACCCTTGGGAAAGGCATGAATCCACCTCTTTTCCCCACAGTTATGGGTTAATTAGTAAGACTTGTAACACTAAAAATATTATTATTCAAAAACTAAATCTTACAATTTTAAAAAATATATTTCTTCTGGCTTTAAATAACCTGCAAGGATTTGAGAGGCGGTAAAAAAATGAATGAATAAATCAAAATGAAAGCATGAGATATAGAGGGAGGCAGAGAGTAACATACATAAGGAGTTTGTACAAATGGTTGGCCTAGCATGTATTGGGATTGATGATGAAATGACCAACTTTACTCAGAGCTACGAAGGATAGACAGTTGTGGTGAGCCATGATCGCCCACTTTGTGAAGAGATCTGACACGAAAAAGAAGAGGTAGAAGAAGAAGAAATCAATTCTGGAAAACGTTTCAGAATGACAAACACACATCATTTTCAGTTAATAGCTATGCACGAATTTTTACTTTAACCATACACATTGCTAAAAAAAAAATAAATTTCGTTTGCAGTGGTGTATGAATGTGAATAGCAACTTTTCCCCCTTGTATCCGTGCCTCATCTTTGGCATTCCGTGTTATAGTATAGCTAAATACGGTAAATATCCAAGGCTAAGCGTGGGAGCGATGAAGTGAGAGAGAATACAGAAAGAACGTTGTTTCTTTCTATCAAGAAAAAAAAAAGAAGTAAATTTCCCGAACGTTAAATTATGAAAAACTGAGAGATTTGATTGCATACCCATCTGAATTTACGTGTACACCGGTTTGAAAAACCATGCCCTACATTCTACAAACCGAAAGTAAATCAATCTTAACTACTAGACGTCAAAAATAAAATGTTTATCTTTTATAAAACGGTCTATTGTTTTGCGAAGAGACATTAACGTTTCGAAAAGTTATTTAACTCTTTTGTTTTGTTTTTGCTGTTGCCAAAACGTCATGAGATGTACAAGCCGTAAAGAAAGAATTTTTTTCAGAAAATAAATGGTGAATAATATACGGACTGTTGGCTAATTCTCGACAATCTAAGCCAAACAGACGATACTATTTTCTGAATCCCATGGAACATGAGAATTACATATTAAAACACAGAGAGGCTCTCCAATTCGCTTCTTATTGGCAAATAAAATCATAGCATGCTAGAATCCACGCTTGTTTGAATTATACATCAGTTCGACAGGATATCTGCCGCTTCCTTCAATTTTCTTCATCTCGAACTGTGTCCACTGGCTATTGTTTTAAACTGATTCCAAGTAAAATATATTAACCCTTTCCTTTCTATAGCTAGAGAAAAGTTTTTCATTATTATTACATCAGTATCTACAACAAACAAATTTTGCTTTATTAACGTCAATTTACAGTTTTGTTTTTAATTGGAGAATATTATTATTATACGAAATTAATTTCTAATACTCATTCCTATTAAACATGTTCTGGGAACCCTCTTTGTTTTGCCTCATCAGTTTATTATTAAGCATCAACTCATAGGTGCATAAGTACTGATATGCCAAAAGTCCAGGCATCTCGATTGAAGTCACTTTTCCACCGACATGAAATAGTTTCCTTTTCCTCTGTCTTTTCTACAAATATTTTCATGGCAAATGCGCTGACAAGCTTTTTTCCCTGGTGTACCGAATACATAGATTTACGTGTGCTTCTAGATTGGCATGTAAGTACAACTCTTACTGTTGAAATAGCTAAATGCTACCGCCAATTCTACTCCAACAGTTTCTTTTCTCGCACTTCCTGCCTGTGGAACTCCCTTCGGTTTATTTGCTTCCCTGGTAACCAAAATCTTCAAAAGTTTAAATGCGACATCAATCGCCATCTTCTGTCTTCTTGAAAGCCCGTTCATCTTTTGTCCTTTCCTCAATTCTCCTTATTCTCAAATTTTTTTCTTTCACTTTCACTCCCTGTAAACCCCCTTTTGCATATTAGTGGCCTTACGCCCTTGCTTAGGGTGAAATGATTTTTTAAAAAAAGTAAAGGTCATGACATAGGTTTCTGGTAACGTGTAGGGTTCTCTAGTCCGGCAAAATACAGAAATGGCATCGATTCCACAAATCTGAAGAGATTTTGAGCAATGTCCCCTTGAAAGCTGTCTACAGCTCCCTGGGTTTTGTAGCTGCAGTATCTAAACGATGTTAAGATTGACTCAACAGATCACAACTGATATAGGGTTGAACATTTCCATTGTGCCATTGTACAATCGCATCACTTTCCATTACTCTTCATACTGCTATCCTCTAACATTTGGCATGCTTTCTTCTATGTACTGTGTCCCTTATTGATATGGCTTTTCCTATCCCTATTTAGCTATTAGTAATTTCTACCTTTTTACTAACCCTCCCATTTTCTGTTTTGTTACCTATTTATATAAACTCCTTAGGTAAGTTACTCATTCTCTTTCTTGCCTTCAGTACGTACAGTCGGTGTCAAATTCTCCAAACCCTCCTTCATCATTATGTGTCCTAGAAATTTCTACATTCGCTTTCTTTTA